TTGTCTGTTCTTTAGTACCTGTCATGTAGCCGAGCAAGTTAGTACATCGTAGGGGCCACATTAAGGGAACGATACCAGTAACTAGAAAAAGTGCAAAAGGAAAGGATGGGAACTTTGATGGGGATAGAGGGGTGGCAGCTATTATAGCTTAATTCCTGATATATAATTGGAATGTTTCCAAAGTGTTGACACAAACAGTAATACAAAATCACGCAGGTCACCTCTACATTTGATTTGATCTGTATAGGAGCAGGGGGACAGAAGAACAGGTTTTGGAGACACATCTCTCTCTGAGAAAGGTGGGAAGCTGGCACAGTGAATGACAAAGAACGCGGCTGCCAGCAGTGCGCACCCGTGGGCACTCCCCTCGCCTCTGCCAGCACACGGATGCGCTTCTACAGCATGGTGCTTCCACAACCATCACTTTATGGCACCCTGCGCTCTCTGACTTCCTCCATTCACTGTCTGAGTGACATATATATAAAAGAAACTCCACTGGAGGCCAAGTGTATTGTCCAGGGGTTTGTCCTTTCTTTTTAACGCAGAACAAAACTCAAATTTCTTCCCCTTCATGATTTCACTGCCAACACTGTCACTTGAATATCACATGGCTCACCTCCACAGTGACACGCAGGATACACCAAATACTACAGGAGATGCCCCAAGAAAACTCCAGCCCTCCCAGTAGGCAGTAGGAAATTCACCATTACCATTCCCTGGCGACCAGTGGGCATGCTGAGGCAGTTGATTGCATTTTCTATGCTTATTTTTCTATTACTGAAGTGGGATTAACAGTGTTCAGCAACAGCTTTTGAGACTGACAAATTCTTCCTGTTACAGAACAGCATCATGAGGACCTGTTTTTCTCTGAATTAAAAAAAAAAATCTTTCATTAACTGATTACTCTAATGTAATTCTTACATTCTTAAATTCTAAAATTTGCTAACTAAGCACATAGCACAACAAGCATTTTAGACACTATCAAAATACTAACAATTAGAACAAAATCATTTCAGCTGTGGTCTTTGTGGTTTACTTTGTTCCCTGACAGATTTTGAGAAAAAAAAAATATTTTTCCTACAACCTTTTTCACTTTGAAGTACTTTTTTAGGAAAAATCTATTTTCAGTACCACTGAAATTCATCATATTATGACAGGAAAGCAAAATTGTTTCATTTCGTAAGATCTTCTAACAGCATGAAGCTAACCCCATGGTCTGTGAGACAGAAATTCTGCCAGCTATAGACTTTTAAAGAATCAGCAGAGAAAAAGAAGTTTCTCAGATGGAACTGTTAGTCATGATATGAAGAATGTGTGTCCCCTACAGATGTTATAGCTATTTATATGATAAATCCCGATCATCACTATAGGAATTTTACAGCCTTCTTTTAAGTTAATGCTTAAGTTCAAATTAATCTTCTTTTGACAATGTTTGCCTAATATTTCAGTGGTGCCTAACATTTCCAGGGTTACATTTACAGTGAGTCTACCAGGCACTTTTAAAGCTGTATTCCAGACTTTGTACTTGCCTCAGAAAGACTTCTTTTCATTCTTCAATGCTTCACAAATATTTTTAGGAAAGACAAGTACAATAAGCACTGACAAATGCTTAACAAGGGCACATCTAGACTTGCAAGTTAACTGGAATTAACAGTAGGGTTAATTAAGAGCACGCGACAGGCTGTAGAACAGCTCCCTGGAAGAAAACATCCGTTCTAGAATAAAATGACCTCATTCTCACGTTCAACACTTGAACTGTTTTGAGTAACGCGAGACAAACGAGAGCAAAGCATGTTTGTTCCAGTTTGCAGGATCATTGGTTTACTCGGGAATCACAGTCTGGGGAATTGGAAACAAAATGAGGGATATGAAAATACCTTAAGGTGTCTCCAAGGAACTCAAGGTTGCATAAATATAGAGTCACTGGTTTCAAATGGCAGCAGCCCTTTTAAAACCAACGCTACATTTACACACTTCAAAGGCCCGCATTGGGCAGAACGTGGTGCTACAGAAGGCACTGCACCCCCTCACACCAGAGAAATGTTTTTTTACGAGGAAGCCTCTCTGCCATCACCAACACATCCCTCCACTCCCTACCCACACCCTCCTGTTCACTCGGAGGCAGCGGGAGGTCTGGGCTTATTATCTGGTGTTGGATGGCAAGGTGTTTGGGAGAGAAACAAAACCAGCGATGTTTTATTCGGATGATACATGTTGACTTGATCTCAGTATCTCCGCTTCTCCTCTGTTCTCGCTTATTGGGAGCAAAAGATAAACTCTTAAGTGCTTTCACTATCTGACTATCAAGAAGAGCTTCTGGGTGGAAGAACTGAACACCATCCCTGTAAAGGGAAGGCTGCTGTATGTTTCACAAAGAGAAATATTTTTTTCAGCCTTAGTGTTTCTGGCCGTGAAATGCAATTTGAGGTTATGGACTTTCTGTGATTTCTTTTTTTTCTTAAAATACCATTTTAATTGGGTGTTTAATCTGCTTTTTCTACTATCTTCTGTCTTTGGATGAGGCTCTGAAAGAGGCAGCACTGATAAGACCGAGGCGCTAAACCTCAGTTCCACATCTAACATTCGGGGCAAAGCATAAAAGAAGACCAGGAGCCCAGCCTGGCCTGGCCAGCCACACTCACTGGCAATCCACAACGGATGACTGGGTGAGGAGCCTTCAGCACCTTGGGGGGAGGCCAGGGGCCTGTGACAGGCAAGCCTGAAACAAGGGATTTAGGGGAAAGGGATCACAAGCAGAAGATGACAGTGAGACCCTGCAGAAAAAGGAGGAACAAATCTAAGAAATCCCTCAGCCCTGGACCTTCCCATACTGTATCCCTGATAATACACAAAGCACTTTGAAGTGGGAAGCAGCACAGCACAAGGCTAAAAATTCCTGTTGACATTCATGGTACCTGCTGATGTTGACACTCAGCAAAGTAATGCTAATCACCTGCTGCAAAGAATTCTGGTGCAGATCCAGAGAATATTTAGGTGCAGCAAAAAAAGCAGACGCAGAGATCATGGGTCTTTTACTGCTCATCTACATTTATGTATTTTTTGTGTGGTCTCCTATAAACAGTCTTTACTTACAAATCCTTTTACAACCTCTGTGTGCTCTTTGCTCTTAGGGAGACAAAACTGCATCCGCCGTTCACAAGGCCAGAGCTCTGACCTTGTAAGAATAACGCCTAAAGAGTGTCTTCAGAAGAGCAGGGCAGGGAGACCAGCTTTTGCCCTCCAGTCTATGGGCAATGATGGTTTGCAACACCCCTGTGTGAGGAATAAGAGACAACCTGTGCCCAGAATACAGACCCAAGCTTAAGGAAAGCAAGCCTATGCAGCCCTCACAGAAGAAGAAGAGACGTTCGAGAGCTCATGCTGAACCTAGAGGGTCCAATCACTGAGGCCTGGTGACATCTACTGAGCAGGCATTTGCCATAGCTGCGATGGTGCCAAACTTTTTATTGATACTCTGTCCTCCCTAGGAAAGACCATACCCCTGCCTCTGCTGCAAGGAGCGGCACACAGAACAGTGCACGTAACAGGAGAGCTGCTTCAAAAGAAGAAGTCAGAAAATGGTTTGTAGCTTACCCCACCGAGCAAGTCAAGGTTCTGCAGAGAGCATTTTCCCCTCAAGAGAAAAGTGAGACATTTGATGTTCTGCTCCGCACCATAATTCTGGTGACTTTATTAAAAGAAAGGGCCTGATGGCAGACAATGTGTGAAGCTATCCCCGCAATGTAAAATTGTTTTAAGATCCAAGAAGCAATATTAACATAGAGTTCATTCAAGCAATACTTAAAGCAAGTAACCTCAAACTCACAGACTAAAATCGTAATAGAAGCAAGATGACTCAAGCATACAAGATGTAGGAATTGGCTATATAAATGCTTCCTGCTGTAGATTTCACTCCTATACAGTTCCAAAGATACAATCTAATGTGGAAAGAAAAAGCAACGTAATACCTCACATTTCAAACCCAAATCATGCTGTAACTGGGATAAAAGGAAACATGCTATTTCATAAATACTCTAAGTAATATACATTGTAAAAGTCGTATCATTATAAGCAATTACAATCACCGCATTAAGCAAACCATATAGAAGATAACATTGGCCTAAATACCAAATTGCCATAATAGTATTAGGTTTTCTGTTTAAAGTAGCTGTTTTCATCTTAACAAAAAAATGTATTTTGAATGACCTTTCCAGGCGATGTACGTTTCAGCTAGTTCCAGAGCAACAGCCCATCCTTAATTTACTATTGTTTAACTTCAAGGAACACCCAGGAATAGTTAACTGAATAAATAACAGCCTGGTATTAGGATCTCTGTTTTTGCCCCAACTGTTCCCATTTGCTGTCCTGTGTTTTTTGTCTTGTTAGATACACATTAACCTGTTAGACTGACCTTCACTTCCCTCCCAATCCCTACAACACATTAAAATTCTTTAAAAAGACAACTTGAGAGAGACTGCCTTTTGGTAAACCTCCGAAAGCGAGCTCTACAGACTGGTCTGGCATGCATTGTGTACATGCATCTGTCACGAAAATTTGATGACAAATCATCTGTTTCCTGACAGATAGGCTGCACTGACTTCAAATTCCCATGAAATGTCTTTGTCCACCAGGAAGAAAAACATTCTCCTCTAAAGCAGTGATCATTCTCAAACTTCACTTCAATCCTCCATTTGCTTTAGTCTGTATTATCCTTTATTTGTACTACTATAATTTTGTTGGATCAATTAAAGTCTGTTGCAAGATACATCTTCTTGATCATCTTTTGGGAAAATGTAAAGAGACAGGAACTAATGAAAGGAATGAAAGCAAATGTTTCGCAGTAATAATGCTGTTTTCAGAGGGTGAGAAATGAAGATCCTTTTTAAGACTGACCTACCCCAGTTTGTTTAAAACTAAACTGAACTTGACCTGATAAACTACTCTTTTGAGATTAACCTGAATAGTGTACATTCAGCAAAACACTGTAAATCTAAACATACCTGAATTGGAGTCAAACTTTGTTTCTGACCTGCAAAAGAAAATAAAAAGATCGTAAGTTATAAGAACTGCTTTATGCCATGAAAGCCATTTGTCAGACTGATCCCCCAGCAAATACCGTCTTTAAGAAGACTGTCTACGTTAATACTTAATGCGTTCAAGGGCATTTGAACCCAAATAATAACTATTATCTTTAACATTTGGCATTTTTTACAATGTAGAGTTACAAAGAAGATATTTTAAAAGACAAATCACAAAATGAATGCAGGAAATAGAATATAAATTTAAAACAGGATTAAATTATATGCTGTGAATCCTGGAACACAGTTGTTCCTGTGAAATAAATATTGTTTTCATTCATTTTCATTTTTGAAAAGTCATTAACAGGATTTAATTTATTCATGAATGTTTCCAATCTATTTTTGAAGCAGATACCGTTTCATTAATGTCATATGTATTGTATCCAATGATCTGTACTTAATTGTACAACATCCTAGGAGGGTTTTGTTTGTGTGTGTCTTCAATTTACTCACTCTGCACATAGGAATAAGTGGTTTGATTTTCTTAAAAGTGGAAAGGAGGGGGTGGAGAGAGGGAGAGAGGAAGGGAGCCAGGCCTAAATTTTAACTCGTTTTAGAGTCTTTGCAAAAAGACAATGATGTGTGCATTATGCACCATTAGCTCTGGTCGTGCACTGCAGATTTTTCTCTCTCTAACAAGTAGTGTTTTCTTCTAAGGGCTTAGCACTTAGCAAATGAACCCTATAACCTGTATATTTAATAAAAGGAAGAAAAAATTAGCCCGTGTGGGAACATCATGTTTTAGATATAGGTTAATAATACTTGTAAATGTAGAAGCCTTTGAAGATCTCAATTCAACTGTGGGAAAACTTAAGTTGGGTAATTACTCTCAAGATGCTGCTGATGTGCTGTCAAGCAGAATTAACCCTATGACTAGGCCTATCTACACACTCCGCTACAAGACAGCATTGTCTATATCGAGCTCTCAAACCAATTAACAGGCATGTTCCAATCAGATTTATATTGCCCACTAACAATCGGTTGTACACATGGTCATGGCTGTCACAGCAGGACACAAGGTCTGACCAGCAGGAGACCTGTTAAAGGATGTTATGTTGGCAGCAAAATGCATTTCCCCAGAAATTCTAAGGAGGAAATACAATGTTGGACCCCTTTACGTTGTGCCAGGGAGGGGATGTATTTTGGGAAGTTACAGTCCTGTTTTCAAAAATAAATGACCGAAGCTCAAGAACTAATTGCAGATGTATTGTCTTCTTTTATTTTATAAGCTTGTACATGCAGGTACGTGTAGATGTATTTTACACATACTCTCTATATTTTATACAATCGGCATTGCAATCCCGTACCAAGGATCTATGGTACAGCAAACAACTATCAAATCAACCATGAATTAAAAAATGAACATGTTCACACTATTAGTTAAAGCCATCAGAAAGGAAACAACTCCCTTCTCCCTTCCTGCTCATTCTCCACCTTCCCCCAGTGCTCACAATCTTTTATGTCTTAAATATAACTCTCAGGGGGTGAAAAGATGGAAGGGAAAAAAATGTAACTTATCTCTCTAATTGGTACTTACAAAATACCCCCAAAAGCACTGAACAAAGAAAGCACGTTGCCGACGTGCCTTCACGAATACCACCACCAGTAACTGCCCAGGGCACCAGCCCTGGGTGAAGTCCCCACCCTGTGAAAGGTCCATGCCCGTAGCTGGGGGGAACTCCGGCATCAACAAACTGTCCCAGGGGCCAAGATGGCAGAGAGCCCGTGGGGAGGAGGGTCACAAGGGTCACTGGGCACTGTAATGAGTACCAAAGCTCCAAGCAGTCATAAGTTACTGGACAACAGATCAGGAAACGGATACAGGGCGATAAATGAATAGTACTTTGTCTGGCAACAGCAGAATAGCTACGAAAGAAAACACAACATGGGAGGTAGCGCTAGGAGCCATCGGGAGGAGGAGGGTCACCTACGTTATGGTCACCATGTCACCGTGGGAAAACAATGCAAAATTTAGGACACAGTATCACAGAAATTGTTAGAGATCTTAGAAAGGCACAGAAAAAAGGGAAGAAAATAACGAAGCATCTCTGGCACTGCAAATAAGCAACAACTAGCAGATGTGAGAGAAGCACTCGGCAAGAACACACAGTCATCTTGACTACTTGAAGGAATGTCAAAGCTTCCAGCAATTTCAATGGAACGAGCACTTTTCCCCTAGATCTTCCAGTGTTTACATCTTTTTCTTGACAACACGCTAGACAAAGGTATCAGAAACTAGTTGCACATAGGTGTTAAAAAATATGCAACTAAAAAATGGCCAGTAAATAGGATGAAATTAAACGCTGAAAGTACATTCCAAAGGGATGTTCTGCTACACACAAAAATATTCACTCTGACTCCTTTATACTTTTAAAACTACATTAACTAGAAGGAAAAACTTCTCTGTACATGATTTGTTATCATACCCAACCTAAGCATCCTACCAAACAAGAAGCACCTTACAGAGCCAGGCACTGACTTTACAAACTGTCTTTTACAATTTATCTCACCAAGAAAGGAAAAAAAACCCTCAACAAACAGAGAACAGTTTTGTGCATATTTTCTCTACTTTTGCCCCATAGGAGTACTCTGAAAGTCAGGGAATCATTCATAAATACCTTTGGAAAGGAGTCTATATGCATAGAGCAAGAGAATATTTATAAAAGTGCTTTCCATTTCCAACCGTGATAGGACTCAAATACACACAACACATGGCAATATAAATGCCAAGTGGCTCATCTGCCAACACACAATATGCAAGGAAATAGTGAGCTACTGGAAAGGTTTAGCTAAGGACAAGGTGCTGCAATACTTTTAAAGATCCCAGGAATAGTTAAATCAAACACAAGTAATAAAATGTATGATGGTCGCTTTATCTGTACTACAAAGAGGTGCAGGATTTCGACCTGTTCCTTTTAGAAGGCACCATAAACCAGATGTTCAGACTGCCAAGTACTGAGAAAGAGAAACAGAGTAATGATAATCACCATGTGTCCCTCTAGTGTGAATTTTTCAACTACTTCAACCACTTCCAAAGTACGACTGGTGTGCAATTGTTCAGTGCCACATATGACACTGTGACCAGACACACTGCAGCTGAAGCTAACACAGATCAGCTATTTGCCAGTGAAGTGGGCTTTTGGCAAGAGGAGGGGAAAGAGGACCTACTGCAGAACCTCTCCTGTTGCGTTACGACTGCCTTTTTCTTTCACCCTTCTTGACAAAGTCTTTATCGGGTTTATTCATGTTTTGTTGAAGCCCATCATTGGGAACAGCCTTTGAAAGCCCCACAGGTCTCTCAGAAAGCACCTGATGAAACCTCTGCAGCTCTGATCCTTTTGGTTTAACACTGAAGGAGTAATTGACTCCTCTTGGCTTTCTTACATCTTTGCATTAGCAGTTTATACCAGCTTGTTCCTTTGCAAGGTTTTGCTTCAAGGGTGCTAAACACAACAGTGGTAGGGGCAGACGTTCAAAATACTACTCCCCTCTGAAAAGGACTTTGACTGAACGCAGATCTGTTGCAAAGTTGTAAAGACAATAGCTGCAGCTTTGGTACATCCTCATTTTCAAAGAACTTTATTCCATACTGGCACGGGCAGTTTGCTGAAGAGACAAGGATCTAGCAGGCACCTGATGCAATCCAAGCCAAACACTGTCCTGGCCCAGGGGACTGAGCAGAATAAAATCATTCCTCCCGCTTTCCCATTTGCCCCCAGTAGTACAGAAAATACCAAGTTGGAGTATCAGCGTTCTTGGCTACAGCACTGATAGCAAGCTAAAGAAGGGCAGGTCGGAAATGCTCAGTTGTGAATATGTCCCTGGACGCTGTATGGGCCTGTAGGTTCATGCGAACCAGCACTCTGCTAGACAGGACCTGGGCAGGCTGCAGGGGAGGCTCAGCCCAGGCAGGCTGCAGGGGAGGCTCAGCACAGGGACCATTCCCCACAAGCAGGATGAACCAGGCCACTCTGTTTCAGAGGAGAGGAATTTAGGCTAACAAACACAAGCCGTGTCTTGTCACTTGCCTTTGGGGCCAGAGAAGAGGCTTTTGTCCATTTGATTTACAAGTATGGACACAGCCCTTCTGAAAACACAAACCATTACCTGGAAGCGGTCAATGGATTCGGTCACTGATCTTACTCATGAGCCCAAGCTCCAAATAACAAGGCAAGCTTCCAGGAAGAAAAAAGCAGCAGTATTCCAATGTAAAAATCAATACCTGATGTAACTACCTAGGAATTTATGAGACCTGCACCATTAGGGAATTTGATAAGCCCCTGAGCGTTAAGAACCAAGTTGTTCCTCAGGCCGCAGCAGGAGCAAAGCTGGGCTTGCTGCTGTGTTGTGGCCAGGGGACAGGCCCTGGTGGTGTCTAAGGCAGCCAAACTACTAACAGGTACCTCCCAGAGCTGGACAGTCATAATGCCTCTCTCTCTTCCACCCTCATGTGGATTCTCTGTTATAATACCATAATATATATATTATTTACAATAATATTATCGGGTATAATCTAATAATATAGTTGAACTCTTGTTCAGGTCTCCCCTCAGAGAGGGCTTGAATGTGATCTCTCTCCCGATTTCATGGAAGTTTTAAGAACTTAATATCTTTGAGGTTTAATAGCTACTCCCCTGCCAAATTTGGCTGAAATTGGCAAGTAGATTAAATGATACAGTTTTATTATTAGGAAAGGATTGACACACAGACAGCACGATGCTGTAAGCCTTACTTACAGAAGTAAGCCTTACTTTAAGAAGCCCAGTTAAAGATGTATTTTTAATCTCGCTTTCCTAGACTACAGAAAAAAGATTGATTCCCTGTTCATGGATGCTGTGACAATTTCTGTTCTGCCTACTGATGAAAAGCCAAGTTCAGAAAGAGCATTTTAACATCATGCTAGTCAACGAGTAGTCTCTGGGTGAGTTCTGTCCAGAGTGTATTTTAATGT